TAAACAAGAGTCACGTGCTGGCGAGGGGGCGGCGAGTCGCACCCTGCGTGTCCCCCCGCCACCGGCGCAGCCCCCGCGTCCCCAGGGATGCTCGGGTGAGGATCTGGGAGCGGGCAGCATCCGCCTGACAAGCTCCGCCGGTATCCCATAGGAACGCGGGTGTACAGTCCGCCGGAGTGGATCCGCTACCATCGCTACCACGGCCGTTCGGCGACGATCTGGTCCCTGGGCGTGCTGCTCTACGACATGGTCTGCGGGGACGTCCCCTTCGAGCAGGACGAGGACATCATCCGGGGTCAGCTCTTCTTCCGGCGGCGGGTATCTCTAGGTGGGTACCCGGCTTCGTGGCAAGGGGCGATAACGGGTTTTGGGAGATGGCACCGGGCTCACGAGCATCCCGCTCCTATGGCTGGGGAGGAGGTCGATCTCCCGTGGTTAGCTGGAGGAGGTGGCACATGTCCAGTCACCCCGCTCTCCTCCAAAACGGATAATTTTGGGAGGTTTGGGTGCAGCTCTGAACACAGCCGGCATGGCTTGGGCACTGCAGATGGCGGTACAAGGTGGACAGGAGCCTTCTCTGACTGACCGGCGGTTTCTGGTTTCTCTCCCCAGAGTGCCAGCATCTCATCAGGTGGTGTTTGTCCATGCGCCCCTCGGACAGGCCGTCTTTGGAAGACATTTTCAACCATTCTTGGCTGCAAAGCATTCACCTGCCCCAGGAGACGGCAGAGATCCACCTGCACAGTTTGATCCAGGAGCCTGGCAAGTAACGAGCTCCGCACATCTCCTGGCCGTAAGAAGCAAAGAAAACCAGACTTCGTCCTCGTGACCGTAGCACTGAGCAGGGATCGTCAGCTGGGAACACGCACATCTTGTCCTGGAGCTGGGCCGGAGACCTGGTTTTCCAAGTGCTGGTGGCCACCATCCAACCCAGCTGTCCTGGACTCCATCTGAATGACCCTGTGTCATTTGATGTTTTGCCAGTAAATTTTTCTTCTTTTTTTTTTTTTTTTTTTTTTTTTTTTTTTGTTTTGTTTTTTGGAGGCTCCTAAGTGTCTTCCTGACCTGCTGAATTTGGGACCGCAAGAGGATCGGAGACCTTATTGCGAGAAAAGCTTCAACGGGGGGAAAACTGGTTGTGGGGGAGGGCAGGTACCACAGCCGAATGGCTGTCTCTTCTTCGCTGTCACCGTGCTCGAGTGCCTTCAGTTGCGATCTGGGCTGTGCTGGAGGAAATACTTGAATTTTCCTACACTGCTGCTTTTCCAAGACTCGCCTGGGTATATAGTTCCTTTTCCCTTTTCAAAAAGAAAACAGGTCAGAAGACGCTTGGGAGCCAAGCGGGCGATGCCTCGCCTCCTGTGCCTCCATCTCGCATGGATTTTCTGGGGTTCTTTGCTTCCCTGTGCCCTCACGAATGCACAAACAATGCAAACCAACAGAGCTGTAAATGTGTACAAAGTTATATAGGAGCAAAGCTTGATGTACAGTTGTTAATAGTGATAACATTTTATGTTGGGGTGGGGTTTTTTTTCCAGTTTTTGTTTTTAATTTATTTTTATGAATTTGTTTTTTGGTTTTTTTTAAAAGGAAGAGTTCTAGCTGGTAGGATAACTTATTTATTTATTTATAATTCACGTGGGTTTCCAACCCACGCCTTGCTTCTACAGCTGCTGATCCCCCGGTTTTCCATTCGGGTCTTCCCTCCGTGTCTGTCCTGCGTCCGTCCCTGGGTCCGTAGCGTTTCTGTCGGATGTCTGGCGGAGGTGCGGAGCGGCTGCCTGCTCCCCAGCTGTCTGTGTACATAGTTCTGGGTGCTGTTGTTTCCTTGCCACGTGCAGATCTCAGTTTGCAGATGAGTTTTGGTTTTCCCCACGGGTGTCTTGTCTGGGGCTGGGGAGGGGGGAGCTGGCCCGGGCTGTCCGCGCTGTCGAGTCTTTACATGTAACCAAGTGTGTAGCCGGCGGGTTTTTTGTTAATAGTTAATATTGTACAGGGGAATTCAGAAAACTTATTTTTTTTATGCGGTTTTAAATAAAAACAAATCACTTGATGTGATGGAGACATCCCTTTATTGTGGGGACGGGATGAAGGATGCTGGGAGCGTGCCGGGTACCGGTGGCTGTGCCACGTTAACCCCGGGGACCGCCAGTTTGTCTCCAGCCGAGACTTAACTCCAGAGGTCCCACCGAAAGGCTCGCTGAGCGGCGCTAACCAGGACCAGCCAGCCTAAAGCACCACGGGGAAGGCTGGATCCAGCCCTTGGCGGGGTGTTTCCAGCGCCGGCTGCTCCTGGCAGGTCTCCTGGGAGAGATCAAAGGGGTGTGGAGCCCTTTTCGTTTCCATTCATCCGCAGGCTGGTGCAGAGCATGTGCTGGGGATGGCGAGTAAACAAAGATCAAAGCAACCTTACGAAATGCCGGATGTTGTCAGCCAAATTAAATTTTGGTAAGGCAGATCCTGTTGCTCCGGCTCTGTTGGCGTGGAGCGGGTGTTGCATGCCGGGTGACGGTGGGTGAAGAAAGCCACTGGCGGGCTGTCCCCACCTCCAGCTCAACTGCGGTGAATGCGGAGCGAGAGGAAGTCGATTTTCGGATTATGAGAAGTTGGTCGCTATCAGTCAGCAGCGGTAACGCTTCGCTTGAGCTTTTACCCTCCAAACTGTCAAACCCCGCTTCCCACCTCTGTGGTGCTTCAGCTTCAGAGGTGGTGTTTTTTCTTTATTTTTTTTTCCTTGGGATTTTTTTTTTTTTTTTTTAAGATTAATGTGCTGAATTTTGAAGCTCTCTTCCTGCCTGACCTCATGGAGCACCTGCTGCTGTGTGCACACAGGGCTGTGTGTCTCCTACTCCAAGGAAGGAGTTTTTCCCTTTCTCCAGGTTACTTTACAAGTCCCCTGGACAGAGCTGATGCAGAACAGGGTGCTCCTTTCTTTGGCTTGCCCCAGGGCTTTCTTGCTTAAAAACCCCTTGCCCAGGGGCATTCCCCCTTTCCCCAGCTCACCCCGGGCTTGCCAGCACCGCTCTCTGAGCCGTGGGGCTGCTGTTGGAGGGAACCGGGAGTCCTGGCGCCACATCCCAGCCTCGCGGGGTGGCTGGTGTGCTGTGTCACTGCCATGCCTCTGCCTTCAGCAGAAAGTGTTAACTCGGTTGGTTTGTTTTGCTTGTTTTGCTTTTTTCTTTTTTTTTTTTTTAACTCAGCTGCATCTTTCATCTCCTCCTCGGGCTGCTAGAAGCAGGAAGCACAGCTCCAAACGCCTTCAAAGTTTAGGCCTATTTTGAGATGTGGTTTGTATTTAACCTCCTCTCTTGCTTTTCCCCCGGACCATCCGGGAAGCTGCTCTTACACGAAAGCAAACCTCTCCGCCACACCGCCTGCTACCAGGAGGAGCCCGAGCCCCTCGGGGTGGCCACCGTCCCCCCCAGTGTCACCGAAACACTATCGCGGCTGCCCCAGCTGCAGGCTGAGCTCGGCCCACCCTTCCCGTAAACGCTCGCTAACTGCTGCGGTGTTTCTTAGAAAACTCGCCGCAGAAAGGCCAAGCAGGTCCGGCATGGGGCTGGGGTGCTGATAGTCACTTCGCTTCCGCCTGTTGCTGATGATTTTGCCCCCGCCGGGCTTGTGCTGCAGGAGGGGAATGGTGCCATGGTGTCCCCCATCTTGTCCTGCCGGGTCCACCAGCTACATCCAAGGTTTGGGTGTTGGAAAAGGATCGGTGCACGTTTGATGTCCCGTGCACCAGCCTTCCTGTGCAGTAATGCCTTCACCTGGCTGAGAGCCACCAGATTTGCACCCCAGGCCTCTGCCACCATGATAGGTGTGATGTGAGACCCAAAGATGGGCAGCCGCAGCATCGGCTGCCCGTTGCTTCCCTTCGTGACACCCATCACCATTGCGTCGTGGCATGGGGGACTGCACACAGGGGCTGGAGGAAAGGAAAAGGCCTTTTCACCCATCGTTTCTCCTTGCTGGGGGAATCTGCGCTGCCCTTCGGGGCTGTCGGCTGTGACAGGAGAGGACAAAGCTGCAGGAGTCACCCAGTGGGAAGCGATTTGGAGCCAGCATCCCTCTCCTGCCTCCCTTTCATGACTTTTTATTGCTCCACGGTGTCAGCTGGGGAAGTACCTGCAATTCAGAAAGCAGAAAAAAAGGATGAAGCAGGACCAGGATGAGATTTCAGGCCATTGGACCTCCTGTTCTGGGAGCACTTGGAGTCCCATGGATGACTGAGGACTTGCAAAGCACCAGTGCTCATCACACCCATGGCGTCCTGTCCACATCCATCCCCAGCTAAGGTGCTTGGCCGTGTGGAAAGGATGGCCAGGGGAGCCTGGAGCCGCAGCAGAAGGGACATTTCTATTTTCCACGTCCCTTTCTGGGAATGGGAGATGAGCAACAGCCAAACATCTGACACAGCTGGAAAAACACAGTTGAGGACCGAGGAGAAACGCCGCCCAGGGAGCAGGGGCCGGGCTCGCCACAGGGACCCGAAGAGCAGGAGACTCGGAGGTGGCATCTCGCCTCGTATCCCGTCGCAGGGAAAACGTCCAGCTGCCCCCGAGGCGGTGTCTGAAACCCTTTGGCCCTTCTCGGCACAGTGAGTCACAGGAGCTATTTTAAACACCTGCCTTAGGACGAGGTGAATTATCAGCGAACCAGATGTCCCACAGCTCCAGCTCCCCGGTAATGAATCCTTGTGGAAGTCGGGCTCTGAATGCTTTTTGCCAAGGGCCTGTGTGGCAATAGCGTTATCTCCATGGGGCATGTGGGGAAACTGAGGCACGGTGCCCCAGCTCGCTGCGGTGGAGCTTGGGCTTGCCTGCCTTTCCCTGCCCTGTCCCTCCTCGGGCTGGGAGTGGCCACGGAGGAGCTCCCAGCTTCAGCCTCCCACTGCCCCCACATCCCCTGGGAAGGGGATTAAGTCCTCCAGGAGCCGAGACCAAAGCCCTGCACCCCTCTCAGCATGAACCCAGGGTGAAACATGTCCCCTCCCAGACCTCCCCCGAAACCACCCCGGTGCGGTGATGGTGAGGGGGGGCCAGGTGCTGGTTTCAGGCACCTGGAGTCCCTCTCGAGACCAAAATCTCATGTTTTGGGGTTTACACCGACCTTCCCGAGAGTGGGATCTGTGCTAACCCTGCCTCCATGACACATCGAAACTGCATCACTCAGCCTGAGAGTTGGTGGGGGGTTTTACGAGGAAAAAACACTTTATTCGCTGTTAAAAAAAAAAAAAAACAACAAACCGCAAAACCTTTCCAGTGTGTAAAGTTGAGTCAAATGTAGCAGCTTCAGCTAAAGAAACATATTTTTAAAAGGGGTAATCACAGTGTTTCTTTCATCCTTTTCCAAGTTTTCGGTCCCTTTCCTCCAGAGTAATATTTTTGTGTCCTTAATCACCGTGTTTATTACAGTTAGGAGGGGGTTAAGCGACCGGAAAAATGAAACAACAGCTCCTGTTTCAAATTGAAGCAG